CACTTGGCGAGTCGCCTCGTTGGTTCAGAGATCCTCTCTCTGCCTCTCTCCCTCTCGACGCTAAGCGCGTAGGTGTCCAGAAATATATATATCTGTGTGACGCGTTTGTCTACCCCTAACTCTCCGACGCGTTTACATAGCTCCGAGTAGATACATCGGGTGTCCTAGACGTGCAAGAAACTTTGGACCGCCCATGTCTGATTACTTGCAAACTTGACTGCTCACTACGTTTCTGCGAGTTGCGCTCAATTTAATCTGTTAATTTATTTTCATTTGCTTTTGGAACAAACCATTGCGTCTTGTTGTGTTGTTTCTATTGGTATTCAAGTTTATACGAGTTTTAATTTCCTAGTTAGTAGTACTGGATTAATTAGGTAATAGCACGTTCAAAGGAGATAATTAGAAGAGATAATTATTTTTTATCATACGTCGTTAAGATTGTGAAATTTTTACGTGAAAATATTTTTCCAATATTCCCTAGAAATTCCTTAAAATTGAATTAAATTTTTTATTCCGTTTTTATTTCAACCGAAATAAGTTAATATCATCATTGTTTCGTATATATCGCTGGAGACATTTTATTAAAAAGTAGCAAGAGCCATGTTTATACCGTGTCTGTTTACCCTGAACAAGCATAAGATGCCTTTTCATCATCATTCCTGATGGAATATCTCGTAGAGATATACAAGAATATATACATCATAAAATATATATTTGTCGAGTAATTTTAATTAAAAAATGTGCGCAAGATCTTGTTGTCTCTTACAATCTGAAATCTCCATCGAATCGAATCTCCTCGAAGAATTCATTGATTTTTAACCTTCAATAAACTGTCTTAAATGACGTTTAAGTATTATCGAAATAATCGTTATTTTATTCATACTTTCTCGAATATACACGACCTAAAGGGAACACCCGGATACCTCGTATCCCAGAGAGCGAAGGAGAGAAAGAGAAAAAGCCGAGTCGATTTTACCCTCGCAAACTACAAGCTTCATTCAAGCTTCGGAGCCGCCCCCGCATTCTGCTGTGTGACGTCATAGAAATATCGGAGCATTCACTACTCGCGCACGCGATGGACGGAGCAGAGAGGAATAGGAGAGAGAAGCCAAACCATCTAGGATGCGCGCACACGGACGCTCAGGTCCTGGCTTATGTCTCCCGTTGATGGCGATGGTAGTGGTGGTAGTAATGACGATAGTAGAGGGCTTCGCACTGACTTGCTCTCCTACACACCCCTCGAGTGTAACGCTGGTTGCTGTGGCTGCTATTGCTGCGATTGCTGCTGGTACTGCTGGTGCTGCTGCTGCTGGTGATACTGCTGCTGCTTCCACCACCCAACCAGTGTCTTGCCGCTTCTCCGCCTTTCACTCGCGCGGGCTCAGTTCGCTGGTGTCTCTCATCAGCTGCGGGTCTCTTCGATCGACGCGCAACCAGTCTGACGTAGTATCTGATTGATTTGACGTATCTCCCAGGTACATGTCCTGCGTCTCTGAAATGTTATTGTGTCTTTCGCAGATTCTCCATCGGAATCTGTTACATTCTCTGTCGCTGAAAAAAGTTTACGAGCACCTGTAGATCCGTGGATGCCTGTTCTTCCTCGCGCGTTGTTTCTACTGCGTCTTACGCAGTTTGCTTAGAAAGAATGTCGATCGTGACGAGCATTGCTCGGATGAAACGTTGAACTCGATTCGAGATACGTTTCTTGGCAGAAGAGTGACAGAAAGTGATCTTTGTCAAAATGTGCCATTATTCTCTTCTATAAGACGGACTCCGTCGCGAGAAACTTCTGTATCGTAAACGTTGAAAAGATATTGTCGAAGAAAATAGTGGTAACGTGTCCGATGTGCTATTCTAGTTAGAACTCGCTACAGGTGGTGCTTTTTCGCAGTTGTGGTGTTTCGTACTTGGAATACAAATATATACGAGTTGAAAATTCGCCAGTTTGTTATACGCGGTCGTTTGAATAAGCGAATAGTATTGCTTGAAGATACAACGGTTTATGTGAGTAATAATCCTGTTACGATACACGTCTGACACATATTACACGTGTAAAGTTACTTTATTGGAGTTATTATTTACGATTTAAGCAACTTTTTGAATGCATTGCGTCTTCAATTTATTGTATAACTTTATCGTTTTTGCAAGTTGTATTATTGAAAATAATATTAGTACAAATATTGGGAAGCAAAGAAAGAATTAATGCATCAAAATTTTGGTTTATTTTTATTATTAATGCTCAAAATTTTGTGGAACATAATTCTAAAATAGAAATAACAATTTAAAAAAGTATGAAGAAATTTCGAAGGCATGTTGAAAATAAATGGAGTGAAAGTATTATAGGAATACATGTTTGAAAAAACGCCGGTCTTCCGCGATGTCTTGACTCTCATGTCAATAAGCAGTAATAGCAGCTTACTCAGCTTGTGTATATGACCAGTCAAAGACATATCCGTGACCTTGTGCGTAGTATCTGATAGAGATGATAGCCAGTTTTGTTGTATTAAAGTGTTGTCCATCATCGTAATGATACCGAATGAAAAGAATTATAAAATGTGCGCATTTACAGTACAACAGAATAATTCTAAATTGACGAAATAATTTATTAAAAATAATAATACAAATAAAATTGATAGAGATATGACAGCATTCTATCATTATTTTATTTTATTTAAAGAATTATAACGTTTATTTATAGTATTCTTAATCATCTTTATTTGTAACTTAATACGTTACTTCAAATTTCTTGATATTTAATCCTGACATGCGATTTTCGCATCAAATCAATACCAATTTTCTCAGGCATCTCATCAAGTATTGAATGTTCTAAAACTATCTTTTTGTTTCTGATTTTTGATTATTAATGCAAAAGCGCCGTTTTTTTCGTCAATTTTTAATTATTTTAATTTATTTCAATTTCATATCATATAATTATAAATTCGAAATTATAAAGAATAATCTGCTATATATTTTTATTTAATAAATCTGGTTCGGGATATAAATATTTTCTATAAAAGAAGTATATCAATATCTAAATTTATCGTCATCTATCTAAATTATACGATATGAGGAAATCTGATAATAATCGATGGATTGTTTTTGCCGACAAGTGGGCGCCGCATTAAAGATCTATATATTTCAAAGCGGGATACAAGTTTCATTAAGAATGACGTCATTCATTCATTGTGACAAATAATAACTTTTATTGGCACTTTTCTTAAGAAGAAAGATCCGTTTCAAGTTTTATAAGATTAAATTCGTTAATTATCGTTCGATGTATATATTATATTTTTTTTCGATACTTCAATACGATTACAGGAAATTTCTGTATTTTTAATTTAAACAATGTGACTAAAATTCTAGTAATTAACAAAAGTAATTACGAGATATAAGTTTTATTACGAATGACGTCACTAATCATTGTGACAAATAATAAGTTTTATTGCCATTTTTCTTAAAGGGGAAGATCAATGTCCAATTGTACAAGAGGAAATTCATTAATTATCTTTCGATCAATTTACTATAATTGTATTTTCATTTCGCGTTTTCGATATTTTAACTTACTTATTATTTTTCTATATTTTAACTTACTTATTATTTTAACGCGACAATCGTCGAAGATGCCTGTATCTTGAGTTTCGAATATAATTGAAATCCTAATAATTAAAATCAATTTACTATAATTTTATTTTCGTTTCGCGTTTTCGATGTTTTAACTTACTTATTATTTTTCGATATTTTAACTTACTTATTATTTTAACGCGACAATCATCGAAGATGCCTGTATATTGAGTTTCGAATATAATTGAAATTCTAATAATTAAAATCAATTTACTATAATTGTATTTTCGTTTCGCGTTTTCGATATTTTAACTTACTTATTATTTTTCGATATTTTAATTTACTTATTATTTTAACGCGACAATCGTCGAAGATGCCCTCTTGAGTTTCGAATATAATTGAAATTCTAATAATTAAAATAAAAGTACTATATAATAATAAAAGTACTTGAACACGCATTGAAAAATACGAGAAACTTCGGCTTCTCTGAACGGCTCGGATGCACTTTATGTACGAAAGTCAATAGCCGAGGGTTTCGAATGAATAGCTCGCGTTGCGCACCCGGACGTAACCTCGTGGCATTTCTCACTGTGCACTCGTACACTTTGAGCACCATGACATAGATACTCACCGAAGGGCGCGCTTGGTGATGCACTCGTTGGAAATATGCGAGATGCGAAAACGTTTTTCACGTTTACTGACCTTTAACTCGCGGTACGTTTTGGGGGTCAAAATATAATATTATTAAAATCTCGGATTTTTTAATGATATTAGAATGCAAAGAGGGAAGAGAGATATCACTATTGTTTATGTATATATATATTATATTATATTGTTTCAATTATATATTTATCAAAGATAATTAATATGATTTATATATTTGCACATATATTTATTTACTTACATTTTTGTTTTTGTATAGAAATAAATACAACAGTTTAGGAAACAAATTATGTATTGTTTTTAAAATTTTTATTACTGTCAAAGATTAAGGTACAAATAGTGTATAATCAAAAATATAATGTAAATGATAATATGAATTGTTCAAATAAATTGAACATTTTAAAGGTTGTTTATGTGATACAAAAAGTGAAAAAATTTATTTGAAATTTTCATTTTTACTAGAATTTATTAGAAAATTTATTTATTCGAAAAAATACAAAAAAACATTTCTCACATTTTTTAAAATTTTATAAGTATTCTTATATAAACGTGACATGTAAAATCCTTTAAAAAGTATAATAATCTGTTGATATTTGGTAATCAAAAAACATCTCGATATAATCAAATTTCTTTTTTATATCATCAAACTCATAAAAACAATGTTTATAATGCTCATTTAACATTTATTAATATTTTAAATAATATATTTATATAACTAGGTGATTGTTTGCAAGAGAGAATCGCGTAAAAAGCTCCTCTTTTTGTGATTGTTGCAGTGTGGCTCTCTGGAGATCGGCGAGGAACGCCAGCGTCGGGTCGCTATGATGGAGTCGCTCTGCCAGGTGAACGGCAGTAAAACCAACAACATCAACAATGAAGAGCTTAATAACGAAACCAACAATAACAGCACTAATATTAACAACAACAACAACGACGACAATACCCACAATAATAACAATAACAACAGCAACAACAATAGCACCGATTGCCCGGATCCCCAGCAGAGATTGGCGGTGCTGAGCTTCGAGCAGGTCCGCCGTCTGAACGATGTGATGAACGAGGTCGTCAGCATACATGGCCGAGGAAACTTCCCCACTTTGGAGGTACGATTGAGGGATCTCGTGACGGTGGTGCGTAGCAAGCTAGAGACCGATCCGAGCAACGGGGGCGCTGGCATGAGGGTACGCGATATCCGGTTGAACGGCGGTGCCGCCTCCCACGTGCTGGCTACCGAATCCCAGCCCTATAACGACCTGGACCTTATCTTCGCGGTCGAGTTGTCTAGCGGCCGTAATTACGACAAGGTCAAGGCCGCGGTGCTCGGCTCCCTGTTCGACTTGCTGCCAGAAGGCGTGAGCCGCAAACGCATCACCACATGCAGCCTGAAGGAGGCCTACGTGAGCAAGATGGTGAAAGTGAACAACGACGGCGACCGATGGTCTTTGATATCCCTCGGCAACTCCCGAGGTCACCGGAATGTCGAGCTCAAGTTCGTCGACTCGATGAGGCGACAGTTTGAGTTCTCCGTCGATTCCTTCCAGATTGTCCTCGACTCTCTGTTGCTGTTTTACGAATGCAGCAAGCTGCCGATCGCCGAGAACTTTTATCCGACCGTGGTAGGCGAGTCCGTCTACGGTGATTTCCAAGAGGCGCTTTACCATCTGCATAAGAAGCTCATCTCGACGAGGCATCCCGAAGAGATACGCGGCGGCGGTTTGCTCAAGTACTGCAACTTATTGGTGAAGATGTATAAACCGTCGCAGCCAGATTATATCAAGACCCTCGAGCGATACATGTGTTCGAGATTCTTCATCGACTTCCCGGATATAGGACAGCAGCGCTCTAAACTTGAAAACTACTTGTGGAATCACTTTGTCGGACCCGAAGAGGAGGCTCTCAAGTACCAGTACCTGATGCTGTTGCACAGTGTCGTCGAGGAATCGACCGTATGCCTGATGGGCCACGAGCGACGACAGACGCTCTCCCTGATCCAGAATCTTGCTTACCAGGTGCTCTGCCAGGAGCAGCAGCAGCGGCTGACGAGTCATCAACAAGCGCCGCAGGGTCCTCCTGCCACCTATGTCTACGCCAACGGCTATTATTACGCGCCCGTGATACCCACCGCGGCGTGTTACACGTGCACCTGCAACTGGATGGCATGCTCGTCGTGATGCGACGGCATCGACGATAACGCCGTACCCGCTGCCGCCACTACCGCCATTGCTATGGCCACCACTACCACCACCACTACTACAACCACAACCAGCAGAATCGTCACCGATTGTTGCGGCGTTGATGAGCCCAACCACCTCGATTTCTACAATCATGGTTGGTATCAGAAATACGAGTGTGGGATTTATTATCTTTGCACTTATGGTCTTTGTTGTCCTCTCGAAGAGTCCGGAGATCTCTGCTGCGCTTATGATTCTTTCGAAGATCCCGCGAATGGACAAGAGGACAAGAGAAACTACATCGATCACTCCGACGTCAAAGAATCTAAGCTTCTCAGTTGACGTTCATCGAACGGATGTCGGAGTAATGCAAGCTCTAGATGCGGAGTGGCGTAGAAATGTTCAGCGCCGAGGATCATCATCAGTAAATGCGGGGACAACAAGACAGTGGAAGAAGGCGGCGTGTTCGGACGGCGGATGTATAATATCGTCGATGATAGATAAAAGATAAGCAAGGTGAACGTGATGCGAAGCTTTCATCGCGAGTCTCCGGCCTTCCGTCGCGAGTGTTGCTCTTTCTAGGCACTCGTAAACACTCTCAGTGGCAAATGCTGCAGCGAAGTTGGGACCAAACGCTGGTACCGGCTGCGATTGCGGCGTAACAATTAAAAGACTATTAAAAAACTCTGAAAACAATGTGTTGTGCCTACAAATAAAAAGAAAAAAATGGCAGATCGAGAGACGTTTGAAGAGGATTAAGAAGATATGACGGAAAAAACGTTCCTCCGATTCGTTAAAAATGGACAAAAGAAGCATAACAGGAAGGCAAGAGGGCTTTGGATTAGCAGAATGAGTGCCGTTTTCACTGATGAAGCGATTATTGAGTGAACAAATGTCGGCATTGTCACGAAACGATTATTGTCGATGGACATCGACGTTGTACCACGCGGATTCTGGACGACGCCGTGTTAGAGAAGAAGCTGGGAGAAAACCGGAAGACGCGAGAAGACTTCACGGACCTTTGTACAAACAGGAGGGAAAAGAGAGTCGAAAAAAAACATGAAAAGTTCACAATTTATGATGCGCGTCCCTGTTTCAAAAATTTTTTTTTAATTGCTTTGTTTTGTTTCTCTCGCAGAATTGATCGCATGCCGAATAATCAGGGGGGGCGAGAAAAAAAGAGGAGGGAATAAAACGGTGGGAAAAAGAACACGTTGCGAGCGCGCGGCGCGTTTTTGTGGCTACGGAATAAATATAAATATATATATATATATATATATATATATATATATATATATATACACATACATATATATATATATATATATATATATATATATATATATATTTAAATATACAGATATATGTATAAATCTCTATGTATAAATAATTAATGTGTGGCTGTGAACACATTTCATTTAGATACTGTGTATAACGTGATAAGATTTAATTCGAGAAGATGATGTAGCGGCGACACGACCGAAGAGGAGTGCGCCGAACAGAGAGAGAGAGAAAGAGAGAGAGAGTGAGAGAAGGAGAGAAAGAGGGAAAAGGAACGAGCAGAGAGTGCGCGAAAGAGCGAGCCGTTTCTTTCTCTCATTTCTGCAAGAACGCGGGCGATATATATGTTTATATATATATATATATATATATATATATATATATATATATATATAAACATATACATAGGTATAGAGACGCGTGCATTCACATATCTACGTATATAGTGGACTTGTCTGACCACAACCGTGCTTTTCTTGGACGATAAATATTACATGAGTAGTAAAGGATGACGTTTCAAGAAAAATGTGGCTGCAATCGCTTTTTAATGGGAGATGATTATAAGTCTCGCCTTCTAAAATCTAATATAATTGTGTAACCCCGAGAAGAGCAACGACAAGCTTACAAAATAATTTGAAAGTTTCGTTATACTACAGCAGGAAACATTGAAAGTAATTTAAAAGTATCCAAGTAAACACGTTTCTAATACTTCGCGAAAACAATCCAAGAACAAGAGTCAATATTAAAGATTATTAATGCATCGTTCTTTTTATACATTCTAAAGTACACTATCATTGTATACCATAGTTTAGACAATCTCGCAGCTCACATGATTGTGTTCCATCGCAGGCAAACGTGAGGATTTTGATTTTCTTCTATTTAAAAAGAAATTCGTCGCATCTGTCAGATTTTTTTTAAAGCACTCGAATTACTCGTGCATTATTTATCGTCGGAGGAAACTATAGTTATGAACGACATACAGAAAAATAAACTCCAGGTCCAATGTTCGCACGGTTTTGCAGCCTGAAATTTGCGGCGCGCGTGGTTTGAAGAATAAGACGAGCAAAAGAGTAACGCCGATGAGAAAGATTGTGGAGGTAGAGACGCGCGAAGAGAAATTAGACGAACGAAAGAATGAGATAGAAGCGAGGGGGAAATCACTCGAGATCAGCCTGTATATACGTCGAATCGAGACGCAACTCGCGTATGGTATAAAGATGAGGAGTGTGACTTTCGACAAGATTGATTCTTCGCATTATCGAAGAGAGAGACGACGCGAACGCGTTAATATCCCGAGCCGGCCGATCCGTTCCGACATTAACGAGCGACCGATCTTTGTCTCGTAACGCGGGGCAACGGTTTTGCATAACGTTGTTTAATAGATACCGTCAATATTTAATAGAGCCCCGAGCGTCACGACGACGCTCACTCGTACGCACGTGCACTTATACGTGCGCGAAGGCCGGCGTCGCGCTCGAATCCTCTGATATACATGCGTTTCAATGGTTATATGTATACACGAATATACATATACACATGCAGAGCCCTTACGTACGCTTTTCTATCTTCTTTTCTTTTTTTCTCTCTCACTCTCGCTCTCTTTCTCTCCTCCCCAATCTTTCTCCTTCTCCCGTACACCCGCGTACGTGTGTCCTCCGTGCGTATCCGTATCGACTGGTGACCCCGTTAGTTAGCTCGCTCGCTAACAGGCCTCGTTTGCCTCGCTCGCTCACTCTTACTTTCAATTCGCGAGCGAAAGTAAAGGCCTAATAAAAAGGCCGCAAACTGGTTTTTCAGGTATATCGCGTGTTAATGCTAAGGAGATCCAGCCGCCGGCGCAGCCGGAGTGCCTCTATTGCCGGCCTATCGCCTATCGCTCTACTACCACCACTAGGTCCCACCGTTTGTCCCTTCTCCCTCTTCCTGGAGGCCTCGTATCGAGGCCGCTGACGCTCGATCGCACCGCGACGACCTATTCCGCGCGTTGCCCCGCGTTGCCTCGCCTCGTCTCACCTCGTCTCGTCTCGTCTCGTCTCGTCTCGTTTCGTCGAGGTTTTCCGCAAACGCGAACTTCGTAGAGTTAAGCGTCTCTCTAGCACGGCGGAGCTTTCGTCGATCGACATGAGGTATCGCAAATTGCTGTCGGATTATTTAATACGCCGTGTTTGTGCTTCGATTCTAAACTTTGACGAAATCCTACATGTAGGATGCTGGGTAACGTAGAGTGAGGGGAAAAATGATTATATAGCAAAAAATATTATTATATATATATATCAGATTGTATAATAAGATAATTAGGGCGGTATGAGTCTAAATTCTTTTTGTACAGCTATGTTTATGATCGTGTTGATTTTCGTTTTTTTTTTCTTTTTTATTATATCTCAATAATATTTCGATAAATAGAAAAAAAAACAACACTTGTCCCTGACGGTTCGATGTATTTCGTGTGATGGGAGATACTTACGCGGTGACCAGCGATTTCGCATCATGAATACCTCCTAGCGAGCTCTTTAATAACAGTCTTTAATACAAGTTAACCGTGTTGTACCGTGTCTCCTCTTTTGCGTCACATCCGAGCCACTCGCGGCGCTCAACGGTCGGGGAATTAATCTACGATGAGTCCGAGATGAGTCGACTGTTGGCAGAATTAAGCCTTCCGTTGTGTCTGTAAAAGATAGCGAGTTCGTCGAGCGCATTCGGCTTTCTTTCCATCGCTCTTAAATAGCGACGTGTCGAACGAACTTTTGCGAATAATGTTTAGCGAATAGTTTTGTATAAGTTGTTTCTTTCTCTCGAATCATGTTTGTTTTACGTATAACAAATATTGATGTGTATAACAAATGGGTGACTTGTTTCAAAATTTCGACTTAACATCATGTAAAAGATTTTTTATACCGTCACCTGTTACATGTGTACTTTGATTTCGTGGCAATTGAAAATTAATGTATTGTTGGAAGAAAATTATAAACAATGCAACAAATCAAGGCTGAAAGTGTTACAATTATAAATCACAATTAGCTCGTAGAATATTTAAGGCGGCGGTAAGAAGTATAAGGCTGATAATAATTGAAACTGCAAAATCAGTATCAGCGAATATTTTAGCACTAATGTGTTATTTAAATTTTGTTGATTGATGTATCGTTTTTTATATGTGATTTATTTACTTAACCGTTTCGTGTTAAAAAGAGAAAATTTAACAATTATTATCGCGAGTATTTGCCCTATGTAAAAAGTTAATTCGAGATTTATATAGAATATAGGAAAAACGCGTTCTTTTTTCGTTAATATTTTGTTAATTGTATTATTGTAAATGTGCATCCCTATTTGCGAAGGAGAAATTTACACGGATAATCGGAAATATATATACGCCAACTTATTGAAGTAATTATAATCGCGTTTACGAAAGTCTCAGGGTTAGCTGTCATGATCAAGGACACATTGATTACGACTCGGTGATAAACGGACACTAATTGCAACTTGTATACTATCGAATGTGTGATTACATCTACAGTAATAAAGATAATATCGAGCATGAATTAATAAATATGATTTTATATCTATGCGAAAAGCGACAAGCTTGCGGTTAATCAATATAAAAAGTTAATTTGTTATCAGATTGTGCGTTACTCAAAATTAAATATGTTAGCGAAGAGGAATGAGAAATGTGAGTCGAATAATTTTTTTTTCTTGTTTTTATATCTCGGCAACATTTTAATAAATTCGTACGTTGTATTAAATGTAAAAGTTAAAAATTAATACA